GCCCCAGGATTGGATTGCAGTACGCCCGGGCCGTCGTCGTCGTTGTCGTCCGTCGTCGTCGTCGTCGTCGTCCCCCGGGATTGCAAGACGGCTGCGCAGCACATGCCATCCGCAAAGGGTTGTCGTCGTCGTCGTCGAGACGCCCGCGTAAGCAGTCTGCGTGCCGTCGCTTGCTCGGACCTTTAACGTGCATGTGGCGTGTGAGCTGCAGTGGATGATCCGCACCTGGTGCCGATCGACATTTAAGCCGACATGTCTTCTGGATGATGGCAGGCCATGTCGCGAACTTTTTGGTGCTTCGCCGTCCCTGACACGTCGAGACAGGAGCTACGCTCTCTGTTAGTTTTGGTGCGAGAAAAGTGGCTGGTCCCTGCTGCTGTCGCTTCGTCCCTTCCCTGTCCTCTCGCCCGCCCCGCTCCTCCTGGGCCGTGGGCCTCTCCTCCCCCCCTCGGGGGCTGACCCTCGCTGAGGGCTGCGTGAAAGGCTTGCTCGTGGGTGCCCACCCTGTGGGTGCCTGTGCGCAGGTCGTTCGCCGGGCCTCGGGCTGGAAGGGCGCCTGCTCGCCCTCGGTCTTCCGCGCCGCTGCTGCTTGCTGATGGGCCCCGCTCGTACCCTTTCGGCATGGGCCGTGCACGGGCTGCGCCCGAATCTCGGGCTATGCCGCTCGTGCCCCACCTACAAAGTTGTGCCGAGCTTACAGATGTGCGGGGGGTACCCAACCAGATTCCGCAATCCGAACCGACGTGGGACCTTTTCTGGGGCGCCGCCGCCGTCGTCGTCGTCGCCGTCGCCGTCGCTGCCTCGTCCTTCGGGATTGCAGGACGCCCGCGCAGCACCCCGCCCCCGTGTTTGCCATCCGCAGTCCGCCGTCGTCGTCGTCGTCGTCGTCCGTCGTCGCCCCGGGACTGCAGGACGCCCACGCAGCTTCCCCCCCCCCCTTGTGCCAACCGCAGTCCGCCATCGTTTTCGTTGCCGTCATCGCCTGTGGGTCTTCGTCTCCCAGGACTGCAAGACGCCCGCGCCAGGGGGCAGAGGGTGCCTTCGACCAGCCCGAGTAGCCCCGCCGCTCCGAACTGTCAGCGCTCGGGTTCCCGCCTGGCCCCCGTGACGGCCCGGGGGCCACCCCGAATAGTTTTCGCAGGCTGATAGACCTCCTACCCTGACACCTCGATTCGCGAATTGGCCGTTTTCGGTTCGCGAGAGGGCGTCGCGGCCGTCATTTCTGCGGGTCCTGGTCCGTCAGTTTCGGTCCGAGGCCGTTTTCACTAAGGGGTGGTTTTGCTGAAGGGAGGTTTTGCTGAAGGGAGTGTTGTCCACCGCCGAAGTTCGCCCTCCCTGGGCCGAGCTCCTCGGCTCGCCATTCGGGGGCCGCGGGGCCTGCGAACCTTTTCCTCCTCTCAGGTAGTTTTCTGCGTCGCTCGCATCCAATGCTGGGCAGCCCTTGGCGTCGTGCCAGATCTGTCGACTTCGCGCATCCACTGCGCTGCCCACACTGAGGTGGCAGGTCGTCGTCCTGCCCAGCCCCTGGCTTCACACCCGTGCTCCCTGCCTGTTGACAGTGTGCAGGACTGCGGCCGTGGTTGGCAGCGCCACGCCGAGCACGAAGTGCGGCCCCGACGCAGCTCGGCGTGCAAGGGGGCACGGTGGCGGATTGAAGAGGATTCCTCCTCCGGTGTTCCGGCGGGTGGAGGAATGCATAGTCGGGGCGGCGAGAAGTTTGTTATTTATCACCCGCAGGATGTTCGTCGTCGGCGTAGTCTCTTTCTCCTATGCATTTTCGTCCTTGGCGTTGCGCCGCCCGTCCCTGTTGCGGACATTCACACTTGTCGTCGTCGCGTGGTGGTCGTCTTCGCCCAACCGTGCGCACCCCCCCCCGCTCTGGCCCCCCATTGCTTTTCGCCTGATACGCCGACGGCACTCGGAATCTTCGTTGGCAGACAGGACGATTGAATACGATGTTCCTCGCAATTCCGTGGTTCGCATCACTTCTCCTCCTCCAGCCTTCTGGCTTCTGCTGCTGTTCCTCGAGGATTGCCGCCTCCTCTACTTCATGTTCCTCCTGCGCGTCCTCCGTCTCCTCCTCCTGCCATGCGTTCCAACGCCCAGAGGAGCCCGACAGAAGGCCGAAATGAGCAATTTCGCATGCAATGGTGGGCTCATTTCGCTCGCCCCCCGCCATGGCGGGCTCCTTCCGCAATGGGTGTCTGCGGTGAGGCGGTGAGGAAGATGACCTTGCGACGTAACCAACCCGGAACCGCGAGGAGGAGCCGGAGGCTCAGCGAGGAGGAGGCAGAGGAGGCGGCAGGATGGAGGTACCACAGCGTCGTGTGCAAAAGTCGACCAGAGCCCAACACGGGAGGGTTGGGAACTCGAGGGGGGCTTCCCGTGAGCTCCACATGGGGGCCTCCTCGGGGGGCTTCCGTGCGTCCCGGGCCTCGCCGGCCCTCCAGGCGTCGAGCGGACGATGGGGGCGGGTGTGCCTCCATGGGCAGGCCCCCGTGCCAGACGCCAGTTGTGGCTTTCACTTGGTGACGCGCTGGTCATCCTCATTCTTTCCTGCAGTTCCACCCCCCTTCCCGGTCAAGAATTGTGCGACGCGAGGTCCCCGTCATCAGTGCATCGCTGTATTCGCACTCTCCTTTCTGTGATGGTCCGAGAAGAGGCGAGTCTGAGTGAGAGTGAGACAGTATGAGCTATAAGCTATCTGTAGGACTGCGCTTGCATCCGAGTGACCCAGAGCATGAACGAATGGTGGGTCTGATTATGAGTCGGTCCGAGTATGAGCGCAACTGAGGACAAGTGGTTCTGAATATGAGGGGATCTGGGCATGCGTGGTCCTAATATGAATGAGTCTGAGCGTGAGCGAGGCTGGGTACGACATGGTACGACCGAGCCTGAATATGAGTGGGTCTGACTAGATGAATCAGACTGTGTGTGTGCGCGTCTGATCGCGACAGGCAAAGCATGGGCAAGGCCGATCATGAGAGGGCCCGAATGTGAGTGGGTACGGTACATGGACGAAGTGTTGCACCACTTCGTGCCCAAGACAGCGGACACCGGTTTCAGATAAACGCTTGCGTCTGAGTCCCCCCCCCACCCCCATCTGATATTGGCTGCGGTCTGGGGTCGCCGAAACAGGTCGGTGGTGCAACACTCTATCGATCGCCTGGGGAATTTCAGAACAGCTCCTTCTTGCATGCCCCCAATATTCGATGGGAGGCGGGGGGGGAGGCGGGGTGTTGAAGTACGCATTTCAGAGCTCGCCTAAAGTGATGCAACATTTTGTCGACGTACGGTATGACCATGGGTTAGTCTGAGACGTGAGTCTGGACATGCCTGTCTGTCTGAGCATGAGCAGCTACTTGGGAAGGAAACGGGGGCTCCAAAACCAACGCCAAAAACCGCCCACTCTGGGAACAATCCCTTCTAGGACATCCCAGCCCATCCCCACCCTCTCAAGGGAGCCCCCGATGGGTCCGAAAGATGGCCTAAGAGACCCCCGAGAGGGCTCAAGGACGGCTAGAGCCGAACCCAAGAGGGTCCAAGATGCCCACCGCAGCCGCTTTGGTCCAAGCGACAGCAGTCTTTGTCCACACCACAGAACTTCACATCCATTCAGTTCGCGACCGATCAGCATCAGGTCAATGTCCACCTATCTATACATCACGACCTTCGTAGTGTCGTCATTCGGCGGTGCCGCTATCGACGCGGGTATGTCCAACATCTACGAAGCTGTGAATTCGTCAAGCCCAGCCCGCCTGCGCGGCGAGAGTTTGACCGCTGCGACATGCGCCACCATGAACATCCTGGGCCCAGGGGTGCAAATTGTGGGCACATTCGGTGGGCGTATCACTGGCCGCGGCTGGCCAGAATTCGCCAGCACCGTTTCGCAGTGTGCTCAGTTGTGCATCGACGAACCGCAGTGCAGTTGGATCCACTACTACTCGGAACCCGGAACGCACGCTGACACACATTGCTATCTGCACCCGGACCCGTCTCCAGGATCAGCAGACGTGATTGCCGACGCCACCAGAGGTAGGTATGTCGCTTTCTGCGGAACGCCGACGCCCAGCCCGACGCCCAGCCCGACGCCCAGCCCGACGCCGCCTGCGACGTCACCAGGTGCGGGTGGTGCGTCTGCCGTTGGCGATCCCCATTTGCAGAATGTTCATGGTGAGCGGTTCGATTTGATGCAGCCAGGCAGACATGTGCTCGTAAATATTCCAGAGGCTCATGCCATTCTGCCGACCCCGAGAAGAGGGATGAAGTCAACAGGTGAGGCCTTCTTGGGCCTCTTGGGGACCCTCTGGGGGCCCACTTGGGACCTCTTGGGGGCCTCTTCGAGCCTCTTAGGAGTTTCTTAGGCGCCTGCCGGGGGTCTTCTTGGGGTGGAGGGCTCGGAATATCGGTCCGAGTTACCTCTCCTTGGCCCCTCTTAAGGCCGTGTTGGCGCTCACATGGGCCATCTGGGGCGCCTCTTGGGCCATCGTTTGACCCTCTTCGGCCGTTTTGGGGCCCTCTTGGGGGGCCGTCTTGGAGCGATCATCTGGGCCGTTTGAGCCGTCTTGGACGCTATTGAGACCAAAAATGCGAAAATGCTCAAATTATACGTTTTCCCAAGGAACGTGGACGATTCTTGCTTCTTGGGGCCCTCTCGGGGGTCATCTTGGAGTCCTCCTGGAATGTCTCCGAGGCCTCTTGGAGAGTCTTGAGGCTACCTTGGTCGTCCTCGAGGACTCCGGTGCGTGTTGGAAGCCTGTTTCAGCAAGCGTCGATCGATTCTTAGGCGTTCGGGAGGCTACAGAGTGCAGAAATGGAGGCTCCGGAGGCCCAGGGGGAGCGTTGATGAGCTCGGAGACCCACCCGGCTCCAGAATCCCCCCTCTCCAATCGGATTGCAGATCCCAGGGGAGGGGGAATGGGGGAGGGGGGCCCAGCCAATCATCTCACATGCCTTTGAACCCCCCCGGCTAGCGGGGTCGGCGGATCCCTCGCGGGGAGCGCGCTGACCGCGCATTGCTCCGCGTGGTGGCCGATGCGCATCGACTGGGTCAGGGCTGTGAGGAGATCTACTTCCAGCGCTTGAACATTACGGGGTCTTGGGCGGTGGCCAGGCAGAGAGGAGGTTACACGTATGCTGCGGCAGACGCCACCAACGCGACCCCAGAATGGACAGCCTTCGGTCAGGTTCAGCTGAAAGTCGTTCATGGACGTTCTCACAGTGGTGTTGTGTACTTGAACTTCTACGCCAAGCACCTCGGCCAGGTGGGACTCCCTGTCGGGGGCCTCCTGGGAGATGACGACCACACATACGAAGGGACGCCTCCAGAGACGTGCCTACGGACGACTCGTCTTCTGGACGTTGGCGTTCATGCCCAGGAGTCTCCCGCGGCCTCGATCGCAGTTGCAACGCTCGCGTGAGCAGATGTTCTAGCCACTTCTTGCCTCTCCCCTTCTGCCTCCGGTCCATACGGTACGTGGACCAAAGTGGTGCACCACGTGGCGCCCACGACACGGGAAGTCGTTTCGCGATCGGTGTTCTTTGCCCCTTCCCCCCCCTCGCCTGGCGAATTGGGCAGCTTCTCCTCGCATCCCCCCAGTGTTGGATGGAGGGAGCGGGGGGGGGGTGTTCACGCGCGTATCTCAGGGCCCGCCCAGAGTGATGCAACGATTTGTCGATGTACGGTGCGCCCGGGCCAGGGCCAGGGTCGGGCCCGTCACGGGGGCAGCGCGAAGAGGAGGATGAGGACGAGGACGAGGAGAACGAGGGCTGCGAGGACGAGGTGGAGGAGGACCAGGAGAAGGGACAGGAAGAGGAAGGAGGACGAGACTAGTTAAGGATGGGCGTTCGGCCGCCCTCCTGACCGATTTGGGCCCGTCACCGAGGCCCAGCAAGGGCTTCCCGGAGCTCTGCAACGCCTGGGGGGCCTCCTGCAGGAGCCTCCAGGGGGCCTCCCAGGGGCCCAGGATTCGGGGGGTCCGATTTCGGGAGGGGGGGGTCCCGGGCAATAGCAAAATATAATTCGGAATATACCGAACAAGTATGTGTATATGTATATATATATGTATGTAAATATATATACACACAAGGACTTACCGGCTCGCTTCGCTTCGCCTCTAGAATGTTGGTCGCATGGCGCCGCGGCTGGTAGTCGCCAGCACCGCGGTGCGCTTCGGCCATGGGGTCACGAGGCACATAGGGCTGATAGGGCCTGCGGGCTCTTCTGCGCCAGAGGGCTCAAGGGCCCTCCGCCGCAATGGGGGCCCAACAGCTCGGAACGCTAGTTTGGACGAGGGGTAATTCAGGCAGCGCGGCTCCTGGGGACCATGGGGGAGGGGGAGGAGGAGGAGGAGGAGGAGGAGGAGGAGGAGGCGGAGGAGGAGGAGGAGGAGGAGGAGGAGGAGGAGGAGGAGGAGGAGGAGGAGGAGGAGGAGGAGGAGGAGGAGGAGGAGGAGGAGGAGGAGGAGGAGGAGGAGGAGGAGGAGGAGGAGGAGGAGGAGGAGGAGGAGGAGGAGGAGGAGGAGGAGGAGGAGGAGGAGGAGGAGGAGGAGGAGGAGGAGGAGGAGGAGGAGGAGGAGGAGGAGGAGGAGGAGGAGGAGGAGGAGGAGGAGGAGGAGGAGGAGGAGGAGGAGGAGGAGGGGAGGAGGAGGAGGAAAGGAGGAGGAGGAGAGGAGGAGGAGGAGGAGGAGGGGAGGGGGAGGGGGAGGGGGAGAGGGGAGGAGGCGGAGGGGGAGGGGGAGGGGGAGGGGAGGGGGAGGGGGGAGGGGGAGGGGGAGGGGGAGGGGGAGGAGGAGGGGGAGAGGAGGAGGAGGAGGAGGAGGAGGAGGAGGAGGAGGAGGAGGAGGAGGAGGAGGAGGAGGCCGGTAGGGCCTGGAAGGGCCTCTGAAAGCGCGCCCTCTGCAGTCCCAGCGTCCGGGCGCCACTGATGAAAGGGGTCCGGGCGCTGGTGGTGCCCTCGCCGGGCCCCAGCATCGTTAAAACACGACCGTGTGTGCAAAGGCAGTCGTGGAAAAGGTACATCGTCCTGGGGCCTCCTCCTCCTCCTCCTCCTCCTCCTCCTCCGCCTCCTGGAAAAGGTTTGCTGGGCGTGGTCTTACAAGCCCGGCTTTTCGACGTTTTCGTTCGATTTGTTTTTTGCTCCTCCTTCCGCCTCGTCCTCCTCCGCCTCCTCCTCTTCCACCTCCTCCTCCTCCTCCTCCTCCTCCTCCTCCTCCTCCTCCAACTCTTCCTCCTTCGCCCCCCATTTCCGCCTCCGCCTCCGGATGCCGGAAAGGTTTGGGGGGGAGGGGGGCTTGCGAGACCGCGCCCGCCAAAGGTTTCTTGACCTTGGGGGCCGACGTTGCGAAAACATCGTGACGTTGGATGTCTGGGACAGAAGACGTGGAGGCTGGTGAGGAGGAGAGAATCAAGGGGTCGACCTGGGCGGCCGCCGAAGCCCAGGCTCCGACTCGCGGGCCTTGTCGTCATCGTCGTCGTCGTCGCGCTCATATCAGGTGGCGTGTGCTGCTGTCGAGTGGCCTTGTCTGTCTTGGGGGCTTGGGCCGTCTTGGAGCTCTCTTGGGGCTCTCCAAATCCCTCTTGGGGACCTCCTGTGGCCCGCCCTCTCGGGGCTCTCTTGGCAGCTGTTTGGGGCTCTCCGGGGCCCCTCTTCGGTTGTCTCGAGCTCTCTCGGGCAATTTTGGAGCCCTGTTGAGCTGTCTTGGGGCCCACTCGAGGGCGTCTTGGGCTGTCTCGGGGCGATCTTGGGGGCGTTTCGTACGCTGTTTAGACCGAACTAGCGACAAAGCCAGACATGTTCGCTTTCCGAAGGGAATGGGACGATTTTCGCCTCTTCGGGGCGCTCTTGAGAGGTGTCTTGGAGCGTCTTGAAGGCCTCATTGGCTGTCTTGAGGCCGCTTGGGGCCCTCTTTGAACGCTATTGGGCCGTCCTGGGGCCGTCCTGAGACCAGCTTGGGCGTTCTGGAGCGGTCTTGGGCCGTTTCGGTGCTCTGCCGGACCCCTCGGGAAACGATGAAGGGCCCGCTCGAGCGAAGACGGATGGCCAGGAGCGCGCAGGCCCGGATTTATGCACACGGGGGCGGGGGTTCTTCATTATAAAAGCATTCGAAGAGGAATACGCGGTGTGATATATCGCTCCCGCGACTCGTGCCTGAACCCCCCAACCCCCCGGCAGGATTTTTTGTTTTTTTGTTTTTTTGTTTTTTTTCCGCGGGGGGTCAACCTTCGCGGCGACTCGGTAAACCCGGGACCCTTAGCGGCGCATGGATTTGTGTTTTTTTTTCCGCGCGCGTGTTGCCATTGGAATCCCTGAACCACTGCGACTACCGTACAACTAGTACTTGAGCACAACTGGTTGTATCATGAACTAGCGCGCAGTTGCTCCTAGAGAGCACGTTGTCCTGCCGTACAAGTATGAGAGTGCCCCTAGTAGAACTGTGCAGCCATTGTACAACTCCCTAGTACTAGCACAACTCCCTGGCAACTCCCCAGTACGCGTAGTACTCGTTCAACTCTCTGATGCAACTCCCGAGTGCTAGTACAGCTCACTCGTACAAGTCCTCAGTACAGCTCCCCGGTACAACTCCCGAGTGCTAGTACAATTTCTAATACAACTCCGCAGTTCAATTCCCCAGAAGTAGTACCGTTCCCTAGTACATCTCCCTAGGGCAACTCCCCAGTACAACTCCCCAGTGCAACTCCCTTAGTGCGACTCCTTGTACAACTCCCAGTATGACTCCTGGGTGCAACTCCTTAGTACCAGCACAACTCCCTAGTGCAACAGCTATCAGAGTGTTGTTGCATTACACTTACAATATGGGCTCTCACACGCTTTTCCTCCTCCAGTTGCGCTGGGAGGAGTGGGGCCCCTCGCGAGGGCACCCCTCTGCGACCGCACGCGCTCCGCCCGTTGGCGTGACAGCGCGTGCACTTCGTTTGACATCCCGAAGCTCGGCGTCGTCCTCGTCGTCGTCCTCCTCGTCGTCGTCCTTGTCCTCGTCCGCGTCCTCGTCTTCGTCGTCGTCGTCCTCGTCGTCGTCGTCCTCGTCGTCGTCATTGGCGTCGTCCGTCGTCGCCCCAGGACTGCAGGACGCCCGCGCAGCACCCCCGACCCCCCGAGGACCCAGGTCTGCAGGACGCCCGGATCGCCCCAGGACTGCTGCAGGCAGGACTGCAGGACCCCCGCCCCAGGATTGGATTGCAGTACGCCCGGGCCGTCGTCGTCGTTGTCGTCCGTCGTCGTCGTCGTCGTCGTCGTCGTCGTCGTCGTCCCCCGGGATTGCAAGACGGCTGCGCAGCACATGCCATCCGCAAAGGGTTGTCGTCGTCGTCGTCGAGACGCCCGCGTAAGCAGTCTGCGTGCCGTCGCTTGCTCGGACCTTTAACGTGCATGTGGCGTGTGAGCTGCAGTGGATGATCCGCACCTGGTGCCGATCGACATTTAAGCCGACATGTCTTCTGGATGATGGCAGGCCATGTCGCGAACTTTTTGGTGCTTCGCCGTCCCTGACACGTCGAGACAGGAGCTACGCTCTCTGTTAGTTCTGGTGCGAGAAAAGTGGCTGGTCCCTGCTGCTGTCGCTTCGTCCCTTCCCTGTCCTCTCGCCCGCCCCGCTCCTCCTGGGCCGTGGGCCTCTCCTCCCCCCCTCGGGGGCTGACCCTCGCTGAGGGCTGCGTGAAAGGCTTGCTCGTGGGTGCCCACCCTGTGGGTGCCTGTGCGCAGGTCGTTCTCCGGGCCTCGGGCTGGAAGGGCGCCTGCTCGCCCTCGGTCTTCCGCGCCGCTGCTGCTTGCTGATGGGCCCCGCTCGTACCCTTTCGGCATGGGCCGTGCACGGGCTGCGCCCGAATCTCGGGCTATGCCGCTCGTGCCCCACCTACAAAGTTGTGCCGAGCTTACAGATGTGCGGGGGGTACCCAACCAGATTCCGCAATCCGAACCGACGTGGGACCTTTTCTGGGGGTCCGCCGCCGCCGCCGTCGTCGCCGTCGCCGTCGCTGCCTCGTCCTTCGGGATTGCAGGACGCCCGCGCAGCACCCCGCCCCCGTGTTTGCCATCCGCAGTCCGCCGTCGTCGTCGTCGTCGTCGTCCGTCGTCGCCCCGGGACTGCAGGACGCCCACGCAGCTTCCCCCCCCCCCTTGTGCCAACCGCAGTCCGCCGTCGACTTCGTTGCCGTCATCGCCTGTGGGTCTTCGTCTCCCAGGACTGCAAGACGCCCGCGCCAGGGGGCAGAGGGTGCCTTCGACCAGCCCGAGTAGCCCCGCCGCTCCGAACTGTCAGCGCTCGGGTTCCCGCCTGGCCCCCGTGACGGCCCGGGGGCCACCCCGAATAGTTCTCGCAGGCTGATAGACCTCCTATCCTAACACCTCGATTCGCGAATTGGCCGTTTTCGGTTCGCGAGAGGGCGTCGCGGCCGTCATTTCTGCGGGTCCTGGTCCGTCGGTTTCGGCCCTGGGCCGTTTTCACTAAGGGGTGGTCTGCTGAAGGGAGTGCTATCCACCGCCGAAGTCAGCCCTCCCTGGGCCGAGCTCCTCGGCTCGCCATTACGGGGGCCGCGGGGCCTGCGAACCTTTTCCTCCTCGCGGGTAGTTTTCTGCGTCGCTCGCCTCCAATGCTGGGCAGCCCTTGGCGTCGTGCCACGCGTCAGCGTGCAGGACCTTCGATATGTCGACTTCGCGCGTCCACTGCGCTGCCCACACTGCGGTGGCAGGTCGTCGTCCTGCCCAGCCCCTGGCTTCACACCCGTGCTCCCTGTCTGTTGACAGTGTGCAGGACTGCGGCTGTGGTTGGCGTCGCCACGCCGAGCACGAAGTGCGGCCCCGACGCAGCTCAGCGTGCAAGTGGGCACAGTGGCGGATTGAAGAGGATTCCTCCTCCGGTGCTCCGGTGGGTGGGGAAATAGTGTTCGGGGCGGCGACAAGTTCGTTGCGTATTCCCCGCAGGATGTTCGTCGTCGGCGCAGTCTCTTTCTCCTCTGCATGTTCGTCCTTGGCGTTGCGCCGCCCGTCCCTGTTTCGGACATTTACACTTGTCGTCGTCGCGTGGTGGTCGTCTCGCCCATCCGTCCGCACCCCCCTCATTCTGGACCCCCCTTACCATTCGCCCGATACGCCGACGGCAGTCGAAATCTACGCTGGCAGACAGGACGATTGAATATCATTTTCCTTGTAATTCTTGGGTTCGCATCACTTCTCCTCCTCCCCCTCTTCTGGCTTCTGCTGCTGTTCCTCGAGGATTGCCGCCTCTTCTACTTCCTGTTCCTCCTGCGCGTCCTCCGTCTCTTCCTCCTCCTGCTGTTTCTTCTTCTCTTCGACCTCATTTTCCTCCTCTCTCTTCTTTTACTTGCTGGTAATTTCCTCGGCGACTCCCTCCACTACAGTTCCTCCTCATCGTATTCATCTTTTTTGTCTCCTCCCCGTCCAGCTGTTGCAGCGGCGGAACCCACCTGGGAACCGGCCCAGGTGTCAGAGATCCTGTTCCGCCGCACGGCGCCGTGCGTCGTTCGACTCGCGAGGCAGCGGCCGCGCGCGGGCGCGCGAGCAGTCGGTTGGCAGGAGGCCCCCGCTGCCGAGGGGCACCTACGGGGGGCGCGAGGGTGATCGCCGCCTGCACTGGGGGCCTCGCGAGCGCGCGAGGATGATGGCGCTGCGCTCAGCGCGAAGAATCGGGCGCAGGATCAGGGCAAGTCGTTCCAGAAAGGGCTGGAACGGCCGCGGCGCCCGATACACGTTCCAGAACCGCCGGATCTCAGAGATCCCCGATTCATCCCGGTCCGATTTTGTCCCTGTCCTGGTCTCGTCTTCAAGCGCCTCAGGGGTGATTTCGGTTGCGTCCCTGAGTCCGGTGTCGGGGGGCGCCAGCTGTCCGGCTCGTCACCCCGACTGGACTGGCCGAGGCCAGGGCCCCAGATCAACGGACACGCGCCCGTTCGGTGCCCTGCACTGTGCCCAGGAAGTGGCGTCCGCGATACCGTGCCCAGGCCTTGGCCCAGCCAGGATCGGTGCAGCCCGGCTGATTGACCCTCCCCCCACAGAGTCCCCGGGGGGGGTGCGAGGGAGGAGCGGGAGGGAGGGGGGAGGGGGGACGGGCAAGCCCGACGGTGGCCGCCGAGAGAGAACGAAGGCGCCACGAGAGGTCGGCCGTGCCACTCCGTGGCAGCGCTGGCAAAGACCGGGCGCGGTCGAAACAGTGAGCATGCAGGCCACCAGCCTTGTCGGGGTGCACGGGTACAGGCTCGGCGGTGCCGAGGCAGCCCAAACCCTTCGATGGTGGAACACTGCCGTCCGTCACCTCGTCCCTGGTGAGGTCCCTCGTGCTTTCTTCGGCGAGCAGCGCGCCGTGATTCTGGCAGGGTCGTGTCGTGTCGTGTCGTCGCGGCGGCGGCGGCGGTCCCGGCGCGGGCGTTCATGGTCGAACGTCGCCAGTGCATGCAGTTGGTGTCGGCCTCGCCGCCAGGCGCCTTTCCTCGATACACTGACGCCTCCTGGCGCCGAGAGGTGCCGGGAGCACCAGCTGCAGTCGGGCCGCTGAAGAAGGAACCCGTTTCGTTGGAGAGGGGCTCAGTGTTCCTCAATTGTCTTCCAGTTTGTGTCAGGTTCTCCCCAGGCTTTCTATGGTAAGTCGAAGTTCAACTTACGGGAAAAGGGGGCCTTTTAGGATTCCTCATGACAGCGCTTCGTTTGTACGCGAGCTGATTCGCCAGCTTCCCCTATGCACTTCCTCTTTCTCGTCCGGCCTGGCAGCCGCAGCCGCACCCCCCTTGCGCAGCGCCACGCGGCTGCGGCGAGAAGCGCCGTCTGTTGCCGCCGCCTCCGCAGCGAGCTCCGCGGCGACCGCCCCGACGGCCAATTCACCCTTCCTCATCTCCCGCCTCAACAGATCTAGGCCTCCTCGATGGGATCAGAGTAGATGGAGTCGGAGGATCCCGCCGCATCGCCGATGCATCGGCGATGCGGCTCGATGCGGAGCCCGATTTTCTCCACGCCGACGTCATCGACGCATCGCTGACGTCGCCAGTGCATCGCTGATGCATCGCCGATGTATTGACGATGCGGCGCGATCCTTAGACCCCATCTACTCCGACCCCATTTGGGAGACCTCTAACAGAGGTCTCGACTTCTCCACTTCACGACAAAGAGTGGCTACGCCAGCACCGCAACTGCGCTACCCCAGCCAACCACTACAAATTACTTCACCTCTGATTCCCAAAGCTGGGCACTATTATATTACACGCCTGGCAATTTCCAGAAAAGAATGTGTCGAGCTTGTGCGCGTCTTGTGTCTCCTCGCGGTCTGCCTCCGCGAGCCCCGTGCGCTGGGTGGGTTTACCAAGGTTCGCAAGTTGTTTTCGGCCCGCGCTCCCCGCCAGCACCCTGCCGCGAGACAATCGCTGCCCTGAATTGTCCTGTTGGGGTGCGCACAATTGCCCCGGACAGCACCCCTGCCTCTCCTTGCCTGGTTGAGTGGGCAGATCAATTCCTTGTCCCTTCAGGGCAGGCAGATTTGCGGTCCATTGTTTGTTGGCCGCGGTTTCTGCAAGCCCAATCCCACCTTGTCCTTCTCATTTCGGGGTTAGGAGATTTGCGGGTCCTTGGTCTGTTTGCCGCGAGCAGGTTCGCGGGCCATTGTTTTTGGCCCGCGTTCTTTGCCAGCATCTTTGGTTTTCCTTGCCTGCATGAGTGAGCAGATCCTTTCCTTGTCTCTTTGGGGTGGGTTGGCATTGCTTGGCATTGCCGCGGAACCCGGGGAACCCAAGGAACCCGAGGAACCCGAGGAATCCAAGGAACCCGAGGAACTTTGGGAACCCGAGGAACCCGAGAACCCGAGGAACCTCCGAGCAACGGGCAAAATAACAATCCGACGAGCAACCCGAGGAAGCCGTGGAACCTGAGGAACCCGAGGAACCTGAGGAACCCGAGGAACCCGAGGAACCCGCGGAACCCGAGGAACCCGAGGAATCCCAGGAATCTCCGAGGAACGGGCCAAGTAAACCCCTGAGGCGCCGAAGGCGGGAAACCCGAGGAACCCGGGGAACCCGAGGAATCTCCGAGCAACGGGCAAAGTAAGGTCCCGAGACACCGAGGGCGGGGAACCTGGGGAACCCGAGGAATATCCTCACAGCGGGCAAGGCAGGGTCCCGAGACACCAATATTTAACCAAGTAAGGACCCGTTAGGCAAGTCTAATTGGGAAATGGCCCGCACATCACCTCATTCCAAGCAATGCGAAGCGATGCGCCCAGCGATGCGCCCATGCAATAGGCTTTCCCCTAATTGGGGTCGCTCCGGGTTTATTTTTTGTTGGGCCCGCGGTTTCTGCGAACCCAATCCTGGTCTTGTCTGGGCTCTCTTTTGGGGTGAGGAGATGCGCGGGCGAATTTCTTTTGCACGCGGTTTTTGCGAACCGAATCTGGACCCATCCTCACTCACTCTTTGGTGGTGAGGAGATTTGCGGGTCATTTTTTGCTGGCCCGCGACTTGGGAGATTCATGGAGATATGCGGGCCGTTTTGTGTTGGCCCGCAGCCTCTGCGAGCCAAATCCCAGCTGTTTCTGGTGAGGATATTTTTTGGGGGGGGGCCGTCGTTTTCGCGAGCCCACTCACAGCCTTTCCTGGTTTGTTTGTGGTGGGCAGATTTTTGCGGACCATTTTTTGAGGGGCCCGCAGCTCCCGCGGGCCCAATATATCAGCCCTTCTCTTTTTTTTCGGTGAGCAGATTTGTGGGCCACTTATGCTTGGCCTTCATTTCCAAACCAGGGCAGCTGGGGGCGCGGGCCTGGCGAAATGTGTTTGGGGTCGTGGCGTCGGGGGGCGCGAACAATATGTCGTTTACGCGGGATCGTGGCGTCTTGCGCGCGAGCGTGGCGTATTTTACCAGGGTTAGTAATAAGCTAATGACTACGTGTATCATCTGGTAGGTTGGTGCATTGCACCAAGAAAGGCGACGCTTGAAGCAGCAAGGGCTAGTCATCCCGATTACCACTACCCTTGCGCTCTTCGTCATCACCCGCTTCGCCATACGATCATTTGGATTCATGCACACGTTCGCGCACACGAAAATACACGCACGCACACACGGAGTCTCCCTTTCTCTCTCTCTCTCTTTGTGTGTCTTTTTTTTTCTCTCTCTCTCTCTCTCTCTCTCTCTCTCTCACGCACACACAAAAACTTGCGCACACACACACACACACACACACACACACACACACACACACACGCACGCACACGCACACGCACGCGCACATGCGCACACGCGCGCACACACGCACGAACGCATGCACACACGCACGCACGGCGGACACAGAAAAGTCAACGCGGGAGTTTCAAACATATCCAGCAAGGTGAATACTCGTCCATGTGGGAAATCATCCTTTTCCCAAGGCATGAGATCGCTCGCCTTTCAATAGGCCTCGCCAACATCGGACCACAGAAAACCCCGACGAGCCACAGAAGGGCACCGACATACGAGCCCCAGACCACAAAGCCCCAACGGGCCGCAGAAAGCCCCAGCGGGCAACAGAACGCCCCAGTCGCAGTCCCTTGTCCCCTCGTCTCGGATTAACATGTGTGTGGGACAGTGAGCTTTTGTGCCTGCACCTGCGGGGGGTGGGTGCACCCCCCCGCCCTTGGTGCGCGCCAGTCTTTTGTCTGGTCCGCACTCAGGGCGGGCCCTGCGCTTTTCGCTGTCCTGCTAAAGTGGGCATTTGCGTGTTTTTTTTTTGTTGCGAATCCCAGCCTTTCCTGGTCGATTTGGAGAGGGCAGATCTGCTGGCTGTTTTGTTGCCCCGCAATCTGCGCGGGCCCAGCGTATTGTCCTGCTCTGCTTTGCGCGAGCAGAGGTGCAGGCCATCTACTGTTGGCCCGCAGTCTCCTTCGATCCAATCCCTGCTCGCGTCTGCTCGGGGTGAGCAGGCGTTGTTTTGCAACGTGGCCCGCGCCCGTCGTGGGCCCAGCGTTTTTCCTGTTGCCCTGCTCAGAGCGAGCAGATGTTCGAGCGTGCGAGCCAGTTTGTCGGCCTTGTCGGCCCTCCTTGTTCCGGCCATGTTGTGAGTGGGCAGATGTGCGGGCCATTCGTTGGCTCGCGCGCCCCGCCAGCACCCGCCGCGAGCCCAGTGTCTGCGAATGAGCAGACATGCTATCCATTTTTATGCTGGCCGCAGCCTGCGCGGGCCCAGCGCTTCCCTTCGCCGCTTAGAGCGGGCAGATGCGGGGGCAATTTGTTTTAGGCCAGCGCTCCCCACCAGCACCCTCCTGCGAGGCCATCGCTGACCTGCCTTGTTCTGTTGGGGTGCGATATTTGCCCCTGACAGCACCTCTGCCGTTCCTTGCTTGTTTGAGTCGTCAGATCCCCTCCTTGCCCCTTGCGGGCGAGCATATTTGCCGTCCATTGTTGTTTGGCCGCGCTTTCTGCAAGCACAATCCCGTCCCGTCGTCGCCACCGGGTCCTTTGTTTGTTGGCCGCGAGCAGGTTTGCGGTCCAGTCTGTTTTGGCCCGAGTTCCCCGCCATCACCCCTGC